TCTACCTTAGGATGTCTAATTGTCTAATGGTCATTTTATGACCAAAACTTATCATTGCTTATTGGGAAGTTAGCTGTAAACATAATTAATAGAAGAAAACTTATTGCGACAGACTATGTCGCTCGAGCTAAAATACTTTTAGATACGAATATTTACCAAAAGTCAAGTACAAGACACATTCAATTTGCAAATGCCAACTGCAATGTGGACATCTAATTGATATTCTTTTTAATGAAATACCAACCGTAACGAGAATTAAAATTTGCAACAATTGTCATAATACTCAATCCAAACATTTTCAAACTTTACATTTTAATGTTGGTATGCTCATCAAGAAAGGTTTAAGAAGCAATTGATGATACAAAACTAAATGACACAGAATGAACAATCAAATGCAATCAATGCAACAGTAATATTCAGAGGATAAATGAGTATGGTCAACATGTATTTTTAAATACAAGTTTAGTAACAGATTCGCATTATAAATCTGAAATATATTTTGAATCGACATTAGATAGCGTAACAAAATCGATTTATCCCCAGGGAGAAACGCGAGATCGGATATACGTCTATTAGATGTCGGAGCCATCTAGTCTAAAACAACATCTAAAAATATCTGAATTAGATGCCATGTAATTTTGTCATTGAATTTTTTTAGACACTATTAAAACTTAATATTCATACAATAGCAGTGCATTATTTATGAAACACTCTTTGGGCTGCAAATCACTTCTCGACATCTAATAGACATCTAATAAATCTCTAAGTAAATGTTAACGCAATATGTATGTAACATCATAATAAAAACCGAAAAATTCTCTTGTTGGAAAAATAATCTTATAAAACATATTTGTGGTCATACACTAGTATTCACTTCATATCGTCAAGGTCAAATTTTTGTCAATATATCATGTATGAGGCTGGAGATTGACGATGTTTATGGCTATATCTGATGAGAGAAAGAGATAGCATATCATATGTCTGTTCTATTTTGCCACCCGCTGAGCGTATAGTTATGTATAATAACCAATATTAATTAGTTCTTAATGAACATTATACTTTTACGGGAAAACCGCTAGTGATTGACTGCCGCGGGTTTATAGTTCATTCGCTTACCGCTATGCGGCGCACTATTCATTCTATATACTCGTATTCAAGTTTTTGTCTTGAAATGTATAAAGCTTGCTTGATAACAACTATTTATATCAGTTTAATTTCTGACACGATACAGGAAAATTCAGATATTGAACTGATTTTTAGAAAATCTAGAAAATCGATACCCGATCGGACATAAAGTGTCCGAATAAGTGAAAGTCATTAATTATTGTCTACTTAAGATAAAATTAGTTAACTTCCGTATAAATAAAATCCTTTAATTTCATAAATTAAATTATTTAGATTTATCTATATATATTACACATTAATGTGTTATTATATATTAACCACAGATGTCTATACTAAACCTATATCGCTAACTTCGGGCTTTGACATATGAAAAGCTGTGGCCAGCCGGATTTCCGGTTTCGGCCATGACACCTTACAATAAAATGGCGGCGATGCGTGTGTAGTGCGTGTATGTGATACCCGACGTGTGTTAGTGTTTGTGCGTACGTGATACCCGATATTTAAATTGTGAATTTAAATTTACCTTATTATAAATTATTATTGCTTATAATTAATTTATCTATTTATCTTTATTGAATTTTATTTTATTTATTTTCTAATTTTTCATAATTTAAATTTATTTTTTGAATTGTGAATTTGTAATTGTGAAAATTCTGGAAAGATGCCGAGCAGTTGTTGCATTCCGAAATGCAAAAATACTACAAAAAATGGTTTTCATTTATTTAGGTAAGTAAAATGCATTCATTTTTAATAAATATTTTAGTACATCTCATGCAATAGCAATAGCTGACAAAAAGCGGGAGCAGCCATTTTGTTGTAAGATGTCATGGCCGGGTATCACATACGCACTACACATGCACCGCCGCTAT